CTCGGCGGCGCGGGCCCGAAGAGTCTTGCCGCCCTCGCGTGGCCCCAGGGGAGGCGCAGAGCTCCACCGTCCTGCCGCAGCTTCTCGTGGCTCGAGCACCAGAAATATTTTCGAGCACGATCGCGTCGCAAAAATGTCAGGATCCGTCGACGGGGTAGTCGATCACCAGAAAGAATGAGAGGAGGAACAGGCATCCATACCTCTACCCTTTCCTCGTTTTCCCCTTTGGGGGCCTCCTCGGAGGCCCTCGTCGCCACCGCTGGATTCGCCTCGAAATTCTGGTCGGAACGCACCCCGGTATTGGTCCGGGGAGTAGCGGTATTGGTACCTCGTGGCTTCCCCAAAGAATTTCGAACACCAAGAAGGTGCCGAGACTTGAGGGCTTTCACGTGTCTGGCCCCGGGAGGCGAGATACTCGTTCGACACTGCTTCGATAATTTTCTGGGTGCTCGATTTTTGTTCTAGGATGTGGTCCGTAAGTGCGATGGGAGCAACATAACTCTGGGGGCGCCGAGTTCGACTGAACGGGCCCATGCCAAGAAGCACCCTGCTTGCCTCGAGGGTGCCCTGGGTTTCTTGGGTTTCGATGGTTTTGCAATGGAAGTCGTGACGTTCCGCACCAACGATGTCGACTGAACGTAAGATTAATTCGGGCTTGTCCTTCTACGAGAGGAACATCCGAAAATAGTCGAAACAAATAATGATGATGGGGGCGATGTTTGGATCATTTTGAGAATATGTTGGGACCTTGTTGTGAGTATTCTTAATTCGTCGCCCAGAATCCGCCTGTAGGGGGGCATGCCCGACCTAAGCGTAAGACTTTCGGCATATACATAAACTTTTGGCGCTCCGCACGGGTGGATTTCTTGGATCTGCGCTGGGACCCCCCTGGCGGCGCCTCCGACGCCGCCCCTGGCGCGCTCCGCGCGCCAGCGAGGGAGGGCGCAGATCCAAGAAATCCGCGCGGACCGCCAAAAGTTTATGTTCATGCCATTGCTTCGTCCTCTAAGAGTGTCCCGTCGCCGGAGGGATCTCCGCCAAGGAAGCGCAAGACTCGAGTATAAGCCAGAACACTCGGGGTTGCCGATGCCTATTGACGAGGGCGTCATGGATTTTGACGCTCCGGTTTTCGTGGGATGTTTGCAGCGGGAGGTCGCGTCAAATTTCAGATTGGGTCTCGTCATGTGATACACATTGTTCATTTCTAATTATTCGGAAGTTCTTTAATTTTGGGGGGCCAAGATCCTTTCATTTCGAATTGTTCTATCCTGGGCATCTTCCTGGCCACAAGGGGGCCAGGAACAATTAGAAACGAGCACGATCAGAAATGAACGACGTGTAGTTGGTGCAGGAACAGCGGGGTCCCCGGATGGCGGAACGCGATCCGATAGCAGCGGGTTGCGCGCTCGGAATTGGCCCCCAGCGCCCCCCTGAAGCCGCGCACCAAAGGTCGCTCTTGCCTATGTTCACTCTTGCGTGTAGCCGCCGACGGCTTTTTGACGGGTCTCGGGACCGAGGAGCAGTCGTTTTTCCCAACCATCTTGTGGTGTTGGGTCCTCGCTTCGAAGAGACAGCGCCCCGCATTCTCCTCTCCTCCTCCTCCTCCTCCCCCTCCTCCCCCTCCTCCTCCCCCTCCTCCTCCTCCTCCTCCTCCTCCTCCTCCTCCTCCTCCTCCCTGCCGCCTCTGCCCTCCGCATGTATCTGTCCACCGAAGGCCCCAGTGGCAAGTTTTGCATGGCGGCCCCGCCCCATTTCGGCGCACCCCTCACACGTCTCGTGGCCCCATAGGGAGCTCCACCGAAGGCGCCAGCGACAAAGTTCGCATGCCTGTCCCGCCTCATTTCGGCGCATCCCTTACTCGTTTCGTGGCCCCATCGGGAGCTCCACCGAAGGCCCCAGTGGCAAAGTTCGCATAACGCCACCGCCCCATTCCGGCGCACCCCTAACACGTTCCGTGGCCCTATGGGGAGCTCCACCGAAGGCCCCTATGGCAGGGTTCGTATGGCGCCACCGCGCCCGTGTCGACACACCCCTCACACGTTTCGTGGCCGCACAGGGAGCTCCACCGAAGGCCCCATCGGCAGAGTTCGCACGGCGCTACCACAACCATGTCAGCACACCCCTCACACGCTTCGTGGCCACACAGGGAGCTCCACCGAAGGCCCCACTGGCAGGGTTCGCATGCGCCACCGCGCCCGTTTCGGCCACCCCTCACGCGCTTCATGGCCCCACATGGAGCTCCACCGAAGGCGGGGCTCACAACTGCAATACTCACAATTGCATATGGTTGCGTTTTTCGCCAGGACAAGTTCGCGAGGGAGCGTGGCATTGGGTATGGAGGCCGATCTTTTCATACGGATCCCAGGGCAGCCACAAGGTACGACGCCGCGTCTTTGGGGATGGTGGAAAAGCCTGTTCCAGACCCACGGGGGTCGCACGGGTGCAGACATTTAGCAACCAATAAGACGAGCAACTCTGTGCCTCTGAGGCCTGTTGAGTGAGCTCAGAAGTGGGCGAGTCGCCAAGGACGCTGCATTTGCGCTTATTGCTTATATCTCAGCTGCTCAATTGTTGAAACCTCCTGTCAGCCTGGTGGCCCCTACCAGGGGGGCCAGCGGATTTGCTGGCCTCCTCCGAGACGAGTCGAGCGCCGTGATTCCCACCTACGCGGCTCTCATGATGATCGCGAGGCATTTCAAAGACTACCACTTCTTCCTGCTCGAGAACGACTCCGAGGACGCCACTGCGCACTGGCTCCGGGTGGTCAGCAAGAAGGACCCCAAGTTCGAACACAAGTCTGAGAGGCTCATGCTCGGCAACGAGAGGTCTACGGAGCGGGCCCGCTTCAAGCGGATGGCCGATCTGCGCAACAGACTTCGCGATTGGATCGAGAGTTTTGTGCGCCAGAACGCGGGTTGGGATCTGATTGTCATGCTCGACATCGACATTTTCAAGGCGGGGCCGTTCGCTGTTTCGACACACTCGTTCTTCTCCGCATTGGGCCGCCCAGAAACCTACGCGAACCAGTGGGACATGCTGTGCTCCAACGGCATTCATTCCTTGAAAACAGGACACGACCATTTTTCAATGCATGATTGTTTCGCGTTCCGCACAGAGGGGAGCGACTGGTGGAATGCGGAGAACTGCTCTTCGGATAAAGAGGTGGGGCTGAAGTTGTGGCTCGGATACGATCTGGTCCCTGTGCACTCCTGCTTCGGAGGAATGGCGTTCTACAAGCCCGACGCCCTGTTTAGGTGCCGCTACGACCCGGCCGTGTTCGACTGTGAGCACGTGACGCTGCACCAGTGCATGCGTGAGCACGGAAGCGAAAACCGGATGTTCATGGACCAGCTGTTGACGGTGAATTATGACGCATTCGTCCACCAGTCGTGCCTTCCGAGCCGTGGTGATCTTTGATTTCGACGGCTGGCAGGATGACGGAGGAAAGGGAGGAAGAGGGACAAAGGAGGAGGGATGATGGATGGAGCAGGGGGGATGCAGGGCTCAGAAGGCAGGAGGTAGCAGGATGGAGAAGTGGAAATGGCGACCCGAGAAGGGAGGAGGATGGGGTCGGAGATGGGAAGCAGGAGGAGAGAGAAAGAGAGAGAGAGAGAGAATGGCGCACGGAGGGAAGACGGGCGAAGGAAGATTTGAGAGGAAAGAAGAACATACGTTGAAAAATGTGAAGGAGGAGGAGGAGGAGGAGGCCAGAAGGGGACGAGGGAGGAGGAGGAAGGAGGCAAGAGGCAGGAGGCAGGGGGAGAAGGGATGTATGAGGGATGTGGGGAGTTGTGAGGAGGGGGGGACGAAGGAGGGAGGGAGCCAGAATTGGGAGAGCAAGGAAGAAGTCCAGCAGCAGGATCATGATCATGAGTAGCAGGATAACCAGGAGATCGAGCAAGGCGAGGGGGGAGCCATAAGAGGAAGACGACGAAGAAGATGAGGTGGAGGGATGAGGACCAGTGTAAACCCATGATTCATCAACGATGTTGCAATCAACCTTCCCTCCAAGCTCCCTCTTCACAGGCCCCCCACGAGGGTTCATGTTCACCGAAAGAAGTGCCCCGTTGGAAAATAACATGTGGGAAATCTTGAACCGTGCCAGAACATTCCTCTGGTTTCAACGCTGCGGGTCACCGTTGCTGTTGCGTCTTGACGATCCTGAATCGTGCCAGGACACCATTCCTGGGATTACGCCCTGACAGTGTGACATCGTGACAGAACACAATTTCTGGGACGTTAACCATGATGACCCCTGAAGCTGTTGTGAATTCTTAAAACGAATTTTCGCGGCGCCAAGGCGAGAGCCGCATGCTGAACAGGACCTGCCCTCTATCCTTGAAGCTGTTGAACACTTTTAAGACGGATGCACAGCTTGAACACCAAATTGACAGCGACCCGCCTTCCATCCGTGAAGTTGTTGTATATTTCGAGCTCCAGGATCAACAAACGTCAGGACGTTTCAGGCGAAACGCCTGGCCCGCCCTTCCGACTTGCCTCGGGTTGCGACAGGGAGGAGTTATTCACACGGAAAAGAAAGGGAGGAGGAGAAAGGAGAAGAAGGAACAGAGAAGGGGGAGGACACGGAGAGGAGGGGGAGTTGGGGAAGAGGAGGAGGAGGAGGCGGAGGAGGAACCTGAGGAAGTGGAGGAAGTGGGATATAGGAGGGCGGGGAGTACTTACAATGAGGAGGAGGAAAAGGGAGGAGGAGGAGAACGACGAGGAGGAGAACGAGGAGGAGGAGGAGAAGGAGGGAGAGGAGGAGGAGGAGGAGGAGGAGGAGGAGGAGGAGGAGGAGGACGAGAAGAAGGGAAGGCGAAGGACGAGGGGGAGGAGGAGGAGGAGGAGGAGGATGACGACGACCAGTGTAAGCTCCAAGACGCATCAACGATATTGCAATATATCCTTCCTACAGGTTTCGTTTGTTTCACCGGGCCTTAAAGAAAGTTATGTTAGCTTCGGGAGGTAGCACATGAAAAACACATTGTTTGAGAATCCTCAGGCCAGCCAAAACACAGCTCTGGGACTTCAGCGCCGCGGATCAACATGACTGTTGCGTCTTGGCAATGCTAACTCGCGCCAGAACAAAACTCCTGGGATTGGTTCCAACACAGCGAATCAACGTGACTGTTAAATCCTGGCAATCCTAAGTCGTGTGCGCTAGAAGACCTTTCCTGGGATTTCGACCATACGACTCATTGAAGCTGCTCTAAATATCTAAGACGAGTGCGCGCGGCGCTAAGGCGAGCGAGAACCACATGTTGAAAAGGGCCCGCCCTCTATCCTTGAAGCTGCTGCGAACTTTTAAGACGGATGCGCGCAGCGCTAAGGCGAGAACCACATTCTGAAAAGGACCCGTCCTCCATATTTGAAACTGCTGCAAACTTTTAAGACGGATGCACGCGGCGCTAAGGCGAGCCGTATTTTTGAAAACGACCCGCCATCCATCTGTGAAGCTGCTGCAGTTGTTTTAGACGTATGTATGCGGCGCTCAGGCGAGAGCCACGTTGAAAAAGACCCACCCCCATTCTTGAAGCTGGTGCAGGCTTGTAGGACGAAGTTGCGCGGCGCGGCGGCGAGAAGCTCCATCTTGAAAGCCGCACGCCTTCCAGCCGCGAAGCTGCGGCAAGCGCTCAAGAAGAGTGCGCGCGGCGCCAGGGCGAGAGCGACCCGCCCTCCATCCGTGAAGCCGTTGCAGGTTTCAAGCCTCGGGGTCGTGTCTGGCGAGGAAGTCTCAGGCGAAACGCCCGGCCCGCCCTACCAACACGTCTGGGGGTGCGGCAGGGAGGAGTTAGGCATAAAGAACACGGATGGAGAAGAAGCAGCAGCGGAAGCAGCAGCAACGCCATTCGCAAGAGGAGAAGCAGGACAGCAAGGGCGTGAACACATGACGACCTGGGGGACGATGAGAAGGGAGGATGAGCAGTAGGTAGAGGAAAAAGGGGTGCAGAAGAAGGGGGAGCACCAGCAGAAGCAGGAAGAGAACCCGCACAAAGAGAAAGCGGGAACAGAGCAGTAAGAAGACGGTAACTTGGAGGAACATGATGATGATGATGCCGATGTTGATGATGATGATGATGATGATGATGATGATGATGATGATGATGATGATGATGATGATGACGTTGATGCTGATGATGATGATGATGATGAGGAGGAGGAGGAGGAGGAGGAGGAGGACGACGAGGAGGAGGAGGAGACGGACGATGTTGAAGGGGAGGAGGAGGAGGAGGAGGAGGAGGAGGAGGAGGAAGGAGAATTGAGGGGGAGGGGGAGGAGGAGCGGCGGGGGTAATGGGGGAGTACTCAGGAGGAGAGCGTCAGAAGGGATGGTACTGGAGACAAGGTGAACATGAATTACGATGGTGGGGGGGAGAAGCAATAGGATATCTCCCGTTCGTCCTTGTCATTATCGTCCCTTCTTCTCCCACCCCTTCTCCTCCTCCTCCTCCTCCTCCTCCTCCTCCTCCTCCTCCTCCTCCTCCTCCTCCTCCTCCACCTCCACTCTTCTTCCTCCTCCTCTTCCTCCTCCTCCCCCTCCTGGAAGGAGGAGAAGGAGGAGGAGAAGGAGGAGACGGATCTGGATTTGCAGCAGGATAAGGAGGATGAGGAGGAGAAGGATCAGGAGATGCCGAAGAAGGACGGCCAGGGAGTAGGAGGAGGAGGCGGAGGGGGCAGAGGAGGTGCAGCAGCAGGAGGAGGAGGAGGAGGCGGGCGAGCGGAAGGAGGGATGCCTGAGGGCGTTCTTTTTTGCCGTGAGCAGCTGTAGACCGGAGCATCGCCCTGGCAGCCTGGCCCGGCCGCGCCCGCCAGGCGCGCGCAGCTTGAGCGCGCGCCCCTCAGCGCGCCTGCCGCCCGCGCCATCGGAGCGGCCCGACGCAGAAGAGAGCGCGGCGCGCAGAGTGGACGACGGTGATGGTGGTGATGACGATAGTGACTGTGATCGAGGTGAAGGCGATGAGGGGTGGCGGTAGTGACGGTGGTGGTGGTGGTGGTGGTGGTGGTGGTGGTGGTGGTGGTGGTGGTGGTGGTGGTGGTGGTGAGGAGGAGTAGGAGGAGGAGCAGGAGGAGGAGGAGGAGTAGGAGGAAGAGGATAGTGGTGATAATAATGATGATGATGATGATGATGATGATGATGATGATGATGATGATGATGATGATGATGATGATGATGATGATGATGATGATGATGACGATGACGATGACGATGACGATGATGATGACGATGATGATGATGATGATGATGATGATGATGATGATGATGATGATGATGATGATGATGATGATGATGATGATGATGATGATGATGATGATGATGATGATGATGATGATGATGATGATGATGATGATGATGCGGAGGAGGCGGAGGAGGGGCCCCTGGTGGCCCTCCCGCTCCTTCCCATCTCGTGATGCGGCGCGCGCTCCCGCTGGTGTCGGCCGGCGCGGCAGGAGCGTGCCGGCAGGCTCGCGCTCTAATTGCGCCTCCGCCACCTCCGCCTCGCGCCGCCCCTGATCCAGAGGAGCCGGAGGTAATGAAAACGAAACGCTTCCAGACTGCATTCCCTAATGATCCACCCGGGCTGCAGAAACGAGGGCCGCCAGATATTCCGGAACTCCTGACCCGCATTCTTTGCTAATCGCAGCATGCATCCTCTTCGTCCTAATCTTCAACCTAAGGAAAAAGCATAAACATGAACCGTCGGAGTTCCGCGCGGATCTTTGGGGCCGGGCCCCCGAGGCAGCGCCTTTGGCAGTGCCCCTGTCGAGCTCCGCGCGCCAGGAAGTGGGCCCAGCGCCGATCCTAGAAGCCCGCGCGGACCTCCGAGAGTGTATGTTCATGCAGCTTGTTAGCTGTCTCGATCCCCACAAGGAGTCGGAGCAGGAGTAGGAGTAGGAGTAGTGGTAGGGGTAGTAGTAGTAGTAGTAGTAGCAGTAGCAGTAGCAGTAGCAGTAGGAGTAGGAGTAGGAGTAGGATTAGGAGTAGGAGTAGGAGTAGGAGTAGTAGTAGTAGTAGTAGTAGTAGTAGTAGTAGTAGTAGTAGTAGTAGTAGTAGTAGTAGTAGTAGTAGTAGTAGTACTAGTAGTAGTAGTAGTA